TTGCTGCATAACATTTAGAGAAGGTTGTGTAAATTATGGATGAATAATTTCAGAAACGATGTTTAATAGAGGAGAGGAGGGGGTTATGGAATAGTCATGGAATATGGAATACCTAAGATTTAGCTCTGTCTTTCATGCAGCCTTCACATGGAAATACACAGGATTAAAGGATTTCACCATTAACACCTCATTACCATTAGTTATAGATTGTGCTGAAAATGATTTTGTGAATTATTATGTAAAACCAGTAGGGTTGTTTTTAAAAAAATATAAATTTTAGTCCATAATACATATACTCTCTTCTCTATATATAGGCAAAGCATTTAGGTATTATATTTGAAATTAATTATTGCCACAACAAGCATTGTTGCTTCTAGTAAAATAGAAGAGAATAATTTTTAAAATTGGTCTTAGATTAAGGTCCTTGAAAATTTTGTTGAGGTACTTGAAAAGTCCTGGAAAGTCCTTGAATTTCAATCTCATCATAGAGTGGGAACCCTGTAAATGAAGAACTTCTTGCAGAGGTAAATACTTTTAGATGACTGTAGATTTTATTAAAACAGTGCTATTCAGAAAGTTATTATTTTATGATTATTATTATTATTTTGTATTCTTTACATTCTATTTTGTCCTTACCAAACAAAAAATTATGTATTGTTCGTGGGAAAGATATTTATTTTTAAACTAACAATTTGTGAAGATCGATAGTTACAACTCATTAAAAATTTCGCTTTATCAGTAATGTGTGCCGCCTTTAAAATTTCTAATTCAAACTTATACTTCCTTTAAGTTTTGTCACATGTAATACATAAAGTTTGCAAGATTTAGTACAGAATTTAATAATGCATGGTTTAAGCCGTCCTATCCAAAACTGTCTTAAACTGTCCAAAACTTTTTTATTCAAATTATGTCACAATTTTAAGAAAAATATTGGGGAAAATAAAAGCTTAATTTTTGAACTAGAAGCAAAATGAAGAGAAGTTCTTGCTTTATTTAAAAAGTTTATTATTATTTTAAATATTGCATTATTTATCCTTATGCAAAAACATAATTTATCAGTATTAAAAGCATATTTAAAATATAATGTATTCACTTTTGTTGTTCAATGAATTGTAGAGCTTCAAAAGTTATAAATGTTTTCCTATTATGTTATATTATTTTCCTTTAATAAGTTAAAGCAAAGTGTTTAAAAAGTATAAAATATTTATTAATAAATGTAATTATTATGTGTACAATGGTTACACAAATAGAATTTTTAGCCTTTTACCAATGTTCAAGGTTTTGGACAGTAAAGCCCATATGTCCTGTCCAAAACTAGTTTTGGACGACCTAAACTCCAACCCTGTAGTAATAATGTAATTGAGTGATGTCTGCTGTCATTCCAATTTATTAAAATAAAAATAAATTTTTGCTGAGAGTAAAAATATGCATTGCTTAAATATATGCATGTAAATTATGCATGATGTATATTTTGCATTAGTAAAAATATGCATGATGTCTTGAGCAGTGAAATTTATGATTAATTATGTAGAATTGTTTTCATTTAAACGCTTAGCTCATTTAGAGTTACGTTACAATCAATCTCTTTAAATAAAAAAAATTAAGATATTTTTTTATTCATATCATAAATTAATCCATTTTATTTTAAATCTTTATAGAATTAAACATAGCTAATGCAATATTGACATTGAAATGATATTTACTTCATGAAAACACTAAAACTATGTACTAAAAAATTAAAATGAACTTAAAATAAGCAAAATTTTATTGAAAATAACAAACAGACAAACAATATATGCATTGTATTTAAAGCTGAAATTTGATTTTCACATTTATTCCTAAATCCCTTCAAAACAATTCATCAAAGAAAAAAAAGATGTTGACTGGGAATTTTTCAAAGTTCTTAGTGATGCATCAGTTACTGAACTTTTTGATATTACTATTACTTTTTGTCCTACAGCATCAGCACTTTGGTTTTCTTGGATTGTATTAGAATTAGATAGTATTAGAAGTAAGATAATTTTCATCGATATTTACATTATCATAAAAGTTGGAAAAATTTCATTTTGAAAAAAAAAAATTTTATCAGGCTTTTTCACTCAAAAAGCAGGTTAGTTGCATCAATTTGTATTACTAAACATTCAACAAAGTTGAGTTCTTTGTTAAAGTTCAACAAAGTTGAACCTTAGTAGTCGCAAACCAAAAAATGAGTCCGCTGTTCAAGGACGGTTATAAAAAAAGTGAAATATAGTTTAAGTAATTATAAATAATGTTTCCAAAAATTCTTCTTAGGATTAAGATTTATATGCATATTTTTTTACTTCCCTAAATGTAAGTGCTTATATTACTTTCAATTTTGACTTACACGTATCAAAACTTTACTCGTAGCCCAAAAAATATTGCTAGTGAAATCTTTATTTTATTTCTCCAATGTTGGCAGGTTCGCAAATAGAATCTCCCAAACTGGCTGTAAAATTTATAGACTTACCATCAAGCTTAAAATTTTTATTACATGTCTTACTCACTGTTCATATCTTTTTTCTTTTTTTTGTTGTCCATTTTGTAAAATTCTATTTTAGACAGGAAGAATTTATATTCGAAATCTCTGCTATACTATACTGTAACAAAAGCTGATATCGAACCTTTTTGTAAAATATGGTAAGTGGGATATTGATTTATCCATTAAAGTTTATGTTCTGCCCTATAAATAGCCCCATGTATTCTGAATCATTACTGATCATAGGTCCAATTGCTGAGCTTCATATGCCAATTGATTTCAATACAAGAAAGTCTAAAGGTTTTGCTTTTGTGACATTTATGTTTACCGAACATGCAGTGAAGACCTTCTCAGAGTTGGATGGTACAATATTTCATGTAATTTATACATTAGAAAGAATGTTTAGTAATATTTCTGTTTTTACATGCAGCTAAAGTAAAAATTGCCCTCTTCTTAAATATTTATTAAAATGAAAAGTAACAATTCTGTTACTGGTGTCAAGTTCATTATTCCTCCGAGCATCAATTGTAATCATTTTTGTTTTCTTTATGGAAGTACAAGTTATTTGTGCGTATAAATTGGAATAAAAAAGTTTGGTTAGCTTTGAATAGGGAATCTGTGCACCTGGAAAGTAATGGTTTTCGGTATTGAACAAAATTTGTCATGATTTTAAGTAATTTTCTTTAAAAAATCATGTTGAGTCACGGGTTTAGGTCGTCTAAAAATCAAGTTTTTAAAATGGAATTTACCCTCTTGCCCAATTTCACAGTAAAATTTAAAATGTTTTTATCCTGTTCTTTAAAAATTATGGTCTTCTTTCAAAAAATGAAAGAAAGAACATCATTTCTAGAGCGAATTATCTTTTACGCTCCTGTAATTTCAGATTTTTTTTATTTTATGAATTTGAAATTCTAGCTTAGGCTTTTTATATTACACCTAATTTTAAGAAGATATAAAACAGCTTTAAATAAGTACATATATCAGACAGTATTTAGTTATTTGCTTTTGTATTTTTTTCCAGCTGTTTTATTACTTCAACTCTTCTACTCTGTTTTTTAAGTTTAAAATCTATAAATATGAAGATGCAAAGTATAGCAGTTTTGGTTATCATTTCAATTAATGTTATTATAATGATTTTTTTAAATTTATTGTTTTGTTTTTGTCAGAGAAAATAGTAACTTCGTTAAGTCATGGAAAGTAATAAAAAGTCATGAATTTGAAATTTTAAAATGTAGCAGATACTCTGTATTTAGTACTTTTTATGTGTAGCTGAAGTAAAAATAGCCATCTTAAATATTTATTAAAATGAAAAGTAACTATTCTGTTACTGGTCAAGTTCATTGTTCCTCCGAGCATCAATTATAATAATTTTTGGTTTGTTTATGGTAATGCAGTTTCTTATAAATTTGTACGAATAAATTGGAATAAAAAAAAAGTTTGGTTAGCTTTGAAACCAATAAAATTTAAATCACTATGGTCACTCTGTTTAGGATTTATTTTCTGAATAATAGTTAGATATACCAGTTCTTGATGTAATGTAATGTTTAATTTTCTAGTTATTTTCTTATATTTGTCATAATTTGCTGCTTAATCTTTTTATTGTATTTGTTTACACTATATGTTTTAATTATGCATTCCTAAGTTATAAATGTATTAGTCAATATTCCTATTATTAGAGTTCACACTCTCCTTATATCTTCTTCAAAAATTCAATCGTTAATAAAATACTTTTTAATTCAACCACTCAAGTTCAAATACATTTTTACTTTTAGTGGATGATGTTAATACAATTTTTTCAAATATTAATTCCTTCATTAAATAGGGATGAGCGAATAACCAAATGGATTTTTCTAATTGGTTAAGCGTTAGTCACTGTTTTAAATTCAATTAATGATAACATTAGCTATAATTTCTAACTTTTAGCTCTATTTGAGCAAAAAAAAAAGTTTATTGCACTCAATTGAGTATTTAATTATTTTATATTCTCTGTGTCAGATATATTCAATAAAAAACATTAAGTGGTAGCATTTTTTTCCCAAATATTAATTCATTAGTTAAATTTAATTCATTAATTTTAGTTTTATATGGGAGAAAATTTTTTTAATTATTTAATAAAAGGTAACTAAAATAAAAATTTTCTTTGTTGAACTAAGTAGGAATTGATTTTAATATTTTTTTTATATTACTTTCTTTTCAATAAAACCTATATATTTTTACAAATACAGCTTTGTTGTTTAATTTAGCCCACAACATATTATTATATAGTTGCTCACTACCGAAAACTGGTTTTGTATTCCTAATTTATTGTATTTTGTTTCATTATCTGATATGTCTTTTTAAATTTTCAGGGTTGACTCCTTCACTTAATACCCACCAGAGCGAAAAAAGAATTTGAATCCAATGAAAGTGGTTTGTAAATTATTTTAATTAATGTGTCTTTCCTCTTGTGACAATTAATGAAAATTCTGTAGAAGATAATAAAATTCTAAAAGCAACAATTCTCTGCATTAATTTTACAATCTCTTAAGCAAACCAAAATTGTTACATTTATTAGATTTTATTTCTAATGCTCCTGATGATTTTTAATTTTTTCTGTATTTAATAATATAAATACTTATGTGCATATTCTTGTGTTTTAAACTATTCTTATTTAAAAATTATTTTAAAACATTAATATTGAGCTGCTCCAGATATACATTGCATGTTTAGTAGTTGAATGGAATGATATGTGAAAGCTATGTAACAAATTCTATATAATCCAAAGTCTCATGTTTCTAGGTTTACAATATCTTATTCTGCATTTTAAAAATAAATTAGATAAATTCAAATTCTATACAGTCCAAAGCCCAGGGTTGCCACAGGTGACTAAAATGTGACTATTTTTGGCCTGAAGTGACTATGGCAACTTTCTTTGCCTGAAAAGGCAAGCAAGAAAGCAACTATTTTTAAGAAAAGGAAACTACTGGGAGACTTTTCTGTACTCTTAGCTATGTTTTTTAGCATAAATTGGGTTGACAACCTACAGCCCTGACACAATGAGTATTTTTTTCTCAAAAAAAAATTTTGAATTGCAAATTTGAGTCATCACTTTTTAATGCGTTCAATTTGAGAGTCTATTTTAATTGTGAATCTATTCTGTTTCTGTTTAATTGTGAATCTACAAAATTCTGCATGTTCTAAAAAAAAAAAAAAATTCATATGATTTTANCACGTCTCTGATCCATAGATAATGGTTGGTCTTATTATAGTTTTATAAACCTAAAGCTTTGTTTTTCTCGTTATTACTGAAAGTTATATATATATATCTGCTAAATAAATTACAGATAATAGGTAAGAAAATTTAGAAAAAGTTTTTTTTTTTTAATGAAAATGTTTTTTTTAATGGATTTTAGTAATTAAAAGTATTTTATTTTCTTCAAATATACTTATTTTTTTTTATACAAAAATTTAGTGCTAGAACACTAACGTTTATATAAATATTGTCATATTTGCCACCCACCCACTTCACCAAATGGATCATGGAATTATGACAATTTTGTCATTTAATAAAATTTTAGTTATACAGTAGAGAACCAATTATCCGGGATGCTCGGGACCATCGCTATCCCCGGTTTTCTGGATCGACCAACAAGTGTCGTTAATCGATGTTTCATCTAACCCGAATTACAAGGTAAAAAGTGTAACACATTTATTTTATAGTAAGAGAAAAAAGAAAAGTACTCCTGAATTTTAAAAAAAAAATGGTAGAAAAATAACATCTAGAAGAATAAAAAAAAATTGCAAGTTTAGACAATAAAAATAAGTTTAAAAAATACAAAATTCTCATATTTATTTTTTTTAAAATAATTACAATTCCTAAACTAACTAATATAAACAAAACCAATGATTAAATAACGCAATATATTTCATGCATAATTATAACTAACTAACTCCCTGGCATTACAGTCCATGTTGGACCATGGCCTCACTAACAGTTTTCCTCCAAAGTCGCCTGTTTATAGCTCTTTGTTTCCAGTTTCGGACTTTCAGAGTCTTAAGGTCTTTTTCCACCTCGTCAAACCATCTTTTGACCGGCCTTCCGATTTTCCTTTGACCCTGGCGCTGCCCCTTGAATATCTTCTTAGTGCCTCTGTTTTCCTCCAGTCTCTCAAGGTGTCCTAGCCATTGAATTCTCTTTGCTTTCACAAAATTGATTATATCTCTTTCTTTAAATAGTCTTGCAATTTCAAAATTGTATCGCCTCCTCCACTGATCACCCTCTTTGACAGGTCCAAAAATAGTTCTAAGAATTTTTCTTTCCGAGGTAATCAGCATTTTTTCTTGTTTCTGGTTTGGAGTTCACGTCTCTGATCCATAGATAATGGTTGGTCTTATTATAGTTTTATAAACCTAAAGCTTTGTTTTTCTCGTTATTACTGAAAGTTGAAAAACATGAAACTTTCAAAAAATGTCCACACTTTTGGCCACCACTGTTTATTGTTCATACACATATTTAACAGATCATTAAGGGGTTAAATGTGATAAATTAGATTGCTGGTAAACTGTTTTAATGTTTGTCATAATATTTATTTCAATAATATTTTTTCACATTATTATAAATATTTGTTTCAATACCTTTCATCACTCAGATAAAACATAAAATATAGTCTAACATAGTCTAACTTTTACCTATCTGGGGTAGAGGAAGTTTTTCCAATTCTGACTTCAAAATTTCCTGTTTCCATAACCCTGGTTAATTCACTTAAACGTGCATTTTGATATTTTAATTTTTTTTTCTTTGAAATTTACCCTGACCTTAATTTTTTTGAAGAGTTTTTTTGCGGCAGAATCTTGCCATGAAATCCAGTGCAAATTCCACAGTTTTTTGGTAAGTGATAATTTTACAGCAAGTGCTAATTGCACACAATAAATTGCATGGGGGTACAGAGTACAAAACACTGTGTACCAGTGCTCAATGATGCCACAATTCATGCCACATCAGTTGCTATTCTGTTCTAAATTTTTGTGATGTGCAGGGTATCTATCTGCTCACCTGGAAAGTCATGAGAAATCATGGAAAGTTATAAATTTCGGTATTGAACAAAATTTGTCATGAAATTTCAGGATTTTAACTATTTTTTTAAACAAATTATGAAAAGTCATGGATTTAGGAAGCCGAAAAATCTAATTTTTAAAATGGAATTTCCCATTTTAATTCCACATTTTATATTTTATTAAAATATAAAATGTTTTTATCATGTTCTTTTAAAATTATAGTGTTCTTTAAAAAAATGAAAGAAAAAACATCATTTCTGGAGCAAATTATCTTTTAAATTTCTGTGATTTCAGAATTTTTGTTTCTATTTTTGTTTTGTTTTGTTTTTTTTTTCAAAATGAGGAGTATTTCTTTCCTTTCTGATGAACAAAAAAAGTATCTTGAAGTTAATTCTGCAGAAAAGAAGAAAAAAAATTATTTGCTTTTGTATTTTTTTTTCAGCTATTTTATTGCTTGAACTCTTTCTTTACTCTATTTTTTAAATTTAAAATCTATAAATATGAAGATGCCGAGTATAACAGTTTTGATTATATCTATTATTTCAATTAATGTTATTATAATGCTTTTTTATATTTATTGTTGTGTTTTTGTCAGAGAAAATAGCAACAAATTCTTGGAATTAGTCATTAATTTGAAAATATTAAATGTAGCAAATACTGTATCATGTTAATATTTGTCAGTGTTAAATGCAAAATGATGTATGTATGCTCAAATAATTATAGGATAGAAGCAGGGGATGGTTTGAAATATTGAAGGGTCTGCAACACAGAATTGCTATGGCATTTACATCACGAATCTTCTTTTTGGAATGCTCTTATACCTTTTATAAGAAGATGACCAGCTTCACTTCAAACACTCAAAAGAGTAAGAAGCATTTTTTATTTTATTTTTGTAATGGCTGAAAATTTAACATTGTTATTGAATTTGAGGAGAAGAAAAACTATTAAAGCGCTGCCAACTCTTCTGCATTGTGTGGAAGTTTCCTGCCTTCTGCACTGAGATCAAAATCTTCTGTATTTTAAAATTGTACATTAAAATTTTGTACCATCTTTAAACTACGTAGGAATGCACATACATGAGTGGGAATTGTCTCTCTTGCCTCGCAAGTATTTTAAAAAAATTTGAAAAATGATTATAAGTTCGATATAAGGATCACTAAGAAACATAGTTGTGGATAAATAGACTTCTTTGTAGCTAGTAATGGGATTAATAATTAAAAGTTTAAAATGTATACCAAAAGTTGTAAATCCAGCAAATTAAAAAACAAAATCTAGCAGTACGCTTGACTTTTTGAAAAATAGGAGTTGGACGGTATACACTATATTACAAAATAAAATTCTAAGTGACATTTTATTGAAGTTGCGTAGAAAGTAATGTTAAGTCTTTACATTGACATTAGAAAGTAAAGTTTATGCCTTACCTTTATTTCCTATCCTGCAGCTTCCAATTGACAAAATTTTTGTAAATACCTGACATAAATTTTAACTATTCGGTTCACAGCCTTTATTCTCTTGGCATATTAATTTGCTATGATAAGATAAACTTTTAATGGTTCACTGTTAGTTGCCAAATACACTTGGAATTTCTTCAATTCTGTAAAAACTCTTAGGTTGTCAATTAGTGCCTTCTTCCTCTTTGATTTTCAAAATTTAAAGATCACTAATTATAAATTAAATTATTATTCAGTTAGGTAAGACTTAAATAAGTTCTCTCCCTGAAAAATCTCAATTTCACTGAAAGTGTAGCTTAGAACTGTTCTTACACTAAGTTCTTCAATTGAAAGAAGAGTTGAATTTCAACTCTTGAAATAGGCTATATATTTTGATGCAATAAACTTTTCAAAGTTTTTTTTATGCTNTTGAAATAAGCTTTTCAAACTTATTTCTATTTCAATCCTTAATTTTACTTAGTTTAAAAAGCCTTAACGCTTTTATATAAAATATTATTTAATAGTTTAAATACTAAGTTATTGTTAAACATGAGGATGTTATATGCACCATGTTATGTGCTTTAAATGTTCACTATTTGTGCAAAAATACCTTTCTATTTTTAAAAATAACCTAGAACAATTTTTGTTATTACATTTTAGGGCGTCAGATTATTGTTAACAATAAACTATAATTATCGGAACTAAAAATTATCGGAATAGCAGTCACATCTAATCACTTTATTACGAAATATGAATTATGTGATTTAGACTATGTAAAAGTTACTAATCATTACATGATTAAAACTATTAATTTGCCATGTGTAAGTAAACAGCATTTTGTTTCAAAAATATTTCATAAAATCATTAAAAAATGCTTTAGAATGTTTGCAAATTATTTTGAGGATAGATAAATATGTTTAAAGCACTTAATCTTTTTTTTTTCTTCGTTAAAATATTTGTTCTATTTCAATTGTTGCGTTTTAACATTCATTTTTCCTTTTTCTTAAATTCATTTTCACAAGTAAAATATACCTTATCTAGTGTTTCATTATAGTGCAAATTAGTGAAGCTAAAAAATATTCCATTTTTAATATTTATTCTTAGATTTTATCCTTTGTGTTAATAGATTAAGCAGAGCATGTTTTTAATGGCTCATCTCGTCAAAATAAAGATTAACTGTATTCTGAATCATTTAGCATAAGGCTGTTTGCTCAAGATCAACTCATTATAGTCAAAATTTACCACAATCACACAATTTTCTCTGTGTCTTATCCCTTTATCTTATCCTGACTGTAAAAAAACCCTTTTTTATAGTATCTCATAGTTACCAACTCTATTGGATTTTTCCAGTTTTTCCTGGTCTACTGGTTTAATAAAAATTCTCCTGTTTTTTTTCACCTTTTAGAAAATTCCATAAAATTGAGTAAGTTTCGTAAAAAATCCAATTGAAATAGATATTTTGCACATATTCTTGCTTGCTTGAATATTAAAATAAGTATTATATATAATAAAGGTAGCCTCATATATTAAAATCAGTTTAAACTGTTTTTGACCTAAAATTTTTAGTTTATTTTTATTTAAAAACTCCCTTTTTAAATTAATTAAAAAATATTTTAACTACTTTTGATGAATTAAATGCCTCTTACTGTTCAAAATTGTATGTGAACATACATAGCATTCTAAGTTCCTCTAATGTCAATCCTAGCTAGACAATATTGCATTCTTTCTATTTTGATAACTATAAAAATCTCTAAAATTCCCTATGCGTAAAGTATTTAGTACATTATGCCACAATTATCATGAAATTTATATTTTGTAAAATCTATTGGATTTTTTCCTATCCATGTTGGCAACTATGGTATCTATATTAAAGCTTCCTAGTATTGTTGTAGTCTACTGAACAAAGTATTTGAAAATTTTGAGCAAATTTTAGTATCGGGGGCTAAATTTGCCCTTGTGGCCATTTTCCAAATTTCAGGATAATACATTCAATCATTCTTGAATTATGAGAGAGACAAACACTCAGACAGGCAGGTAAACTCTTCCTTTTATTATTATAGATAATACAAAGTATACCCCTTTTTAAAAGAACTCATACCTGCCAAGTCTCCTGTTACTCCTGTATTTTACGACTATTTCCTGTTTACCTGTATATTCTCGAATTTCCCCACATTTATTGAAGATTTTTTTTTTAAAATGCTGGATAAAATATCCATTGATGGCAAAAATACTTCTCTTATTCATCAACAGAGGGTGCTAATGCCAGTACTGCAGTATGTTGAGTGTTAATTGCTTAACTTGAGCTGTGATGGCTCAAGGGATATAGCGTTCATCTTCTAAGGTAATTAAGGGGTAGGGTAAGGTTCTGAGGTAAACCCAGCTTTCAATCCGAGCGATGACTGGTTGATACGTATTCAGCATCTGGCTGGCACCGACCACAGTTCTGACGTGAAATATCCTCAGTGGTAAACGGATCATGGATTAGATTCCCCTTCCCTGATGGGAGGTTCTCATGGTCTTCCTCTCCATCTAACTAAAATGTGGGTTAATTGCATCAAAAAGCCCTCCTTAAAGGCAAATTTCTCCCACTACTTGATTCACGTGTCCCCTTGTCTTCTGGATTAGGTACAAAATTATATGGCTACAAGGTTGAACATCACTAGTCGTTAACCCAAAATTGGATCAGTTAGTAAAATCTTTGTTATTTTATTTCTTCCATGTTGGCAGGTATGAGAACTGTCTTAAGGACCTAACTAACATATAAGCCAAGGAGGGCGAACCAATGGCATGCGTGCCATTTATGGCATCCGAAACAATATTTTGGGCACCCCACCGATCACAAAGTTCACTATGAAGCATATTAAAAATTAAATTAAAATTCACAAAAAACAAACAGAAAAAAACAAAAACAATTATTAACAAAAGAATTAACAATTAATGCCAAAAAAAAACAATTAATAACTATAAAAAACAATCTAACAATAAATGACTAGCAAAAAAAAAATTAACAGTCCTGCTTAAGCTAACATCTTTCAACCTAATATGAGTTATTTGTCATCTAATCTGCAATAACAGAAGTCACACCATGGGTGCAAATCTTCCATCCCCAGGACGGATTTTCGTCTTTCAAAAATGTCCGCGGACGGAAGTAAGACGGAAACAAGACTGACTCGAAGACGGAAATCGGAATTTTTTTCTTTTCTGTCCTTAAAAATATTTTTTAGTTCTACGTTATTGGTCTACTTTCTTATGTTCTGTTGTTACTTTATCAAAAGACAGACGAATAAATATTTTTTGTACAGTATTTAAACTTGATGTATTATGGTAAAGCTTTCTTGGATAGTTTGCATGTGTCGAGGGGGTATTGTGCATGTTAGATATTTCAGTCAAAAAATTTTCAGTCTTGGCCTTTTTTCCAACTTGCACCCATGAGTCACACTGATGTTACTTTAAGTTGAATTACGCGTATAACTGAGACATTGCAAAATGTATTTTTTTTCCATACTGAATAAAGAGTTTTGAGTTGACGACACTGTTTTGTATTATTATTTTCCCAATAATCACGAAGTCAAAATTATTTGACGGCACGTCTATGACCTCATTAAACAATTTTTTAGAAAAACTGGCACGTTGGTGTATAAAGGTTTGCCACCCCTGTTATAAGCTATAAGCTTCCTAACACATTAGCTATTATATTGCTTAAATTCAAGCATGCATTACTTATTCCTTAACATGCAAATTTATTATTTAAACATATTTTTTATATGAAGTGTTTTCTTTTTAAAGGGTACAAAATTGAGCAGTGAAGAAGTAGATTTATGTCATCCCTCACCGTTTTCCCCATTTTGGAGATGATTTCCTTTCTTGTGGATTATCAGTGCAGCATTTATTGGATAGTATCATCCAATTTTTGAGTGGAGTGTTTTCACATTGTAATTTTGTCTTCAAGCAAGGAAAGTTCCAGACAATTTTATTTCCCATCTAAAGAAATCTATTTTTCACATCCAAACTAATTATCCAAATAATCCAAGTAAATTTCTATGTTTAAATTCCCATTTAACTTTTATTTTATGTATAAATAGAAAGCGAAATTTTATTAGAATTACTATCTGATTAGTTGAAGCTATTTTAAGATGAATTTTTTTTTTCTTTAAATAAATTTTAGCTTAAACTAGAAATTTGTGCATGTTAATATAAGTATCAATTTAAGTTCTTATCATTTCTTTAAATCATCTCAATATTTTTTTGTATGATGTTAGAAAAGATATAAATTCACCAATTATTACTATCATTCTCATTGTTTAACAAATCTTTTAACATTGCTTGCCTTTATTTGTTAAAATTAACTGAAATTTATTTATTTTAGTGTTTGAAAAGTTATTGCTTAAATTAAAATTTAGTTAAATATGATAGTTTGTTACGTTTTTACTTCAAAAAATCTCATTTGTGTTTATGGAGAACAGTTGCTCTATGTAGTTATTAAATTGTTCTTTTTATTATACAGTTATTAATTGATGAATAACATCCCTGTGTTTTATTCAAATTCTTCTTTTTATATTTTATAAGCAGTATAGACAGGTAAATTGCAATTTATTTTGGAATATCTTTTTATGTGTTTTACTCTAATCATGTCTTTTCATAGAATCTCATTTTATTTTTTAAGAAAGATTGTATTTTAGTAGATTGAAATGCGATTTTAGTAACTATTTTGATTTTGTTTATTCTCTGAATTCAACTTGTTTGTATATCTTTGTATTTACATATTTTTGTTAACCGTTTTTCGAATGTGTTATGTTTGCCGTTAGTATTTATTTTTAATCTTATTCAAATTTGTTATAGTAGACTAGTCAATTACTAGTCATGAAAAAGTTATTGAAGTTGTATGCGTTATAATTAGGGTTGCAAGTTTGTCAGGGAGTGAATTTTCATGCTTATTTCCATGATTTATTACTCTTTAATCCAGAAATTTTTTGAAGTGCTGTGATTTGTGCAAAAATTGTTTAAACAGAGAAGTTTTTTCACCTTATTCTAATTCAACTACACTAATTCTGACAAAAATTACTACTACTCTGCAGCTTTAAAATTGATAATTTTTTATTGATGAAATGTTTAAGAAGTTTAAGAAAATAAATCAATAGCGATTTCACATGAAAATAGTTCAGAGATAGTCCAAATCCTATTAAGTAAGGTGATCTTACTATCTTTTCAATTATAAATTAAAAAGAGCAACATGCCTTCCAAATAGTGCAATAAGCTCTAACTTTACCAGAAATCAGTTGAAATGACAATTAACTGAGTGGGGGGTAACACAGGCTATATGGCCAGGACTGTGAAATTTATAAAACTTTGCATTAAAAAACGTATAGAAATGTTAGCAAAAAAATATTTGATGAACAGAAAAGCATATCAAGAATAATTTAACAATTTGCAATATTTCTATGAAATTCTGTTTATATAAATAAATTTAACATTACATAAAATTAAATTAAATCAAAAAAAAAATTCTGCTCTTTTACATGCTTGTACTCAGAAATTTCTAAATTTTATGTGAAATTTGACGACAANTTAGCTCGAGCTATATAATCGTTTACGGCTTCTGAATCCAGCATTTCTAAGCTCTTAAGTTCGGCACCCGCATCAATCTTTCTATCTTCCTCAAGCCCAGTGTAGGTAGTTTTAATTCTTGTCCACAAAGCTTTTGCATTCTTTTCTTCTGCATATTGCAAAGCCTGTTCGTCTGATAGTGACAATATCAAGTATGATACGGCATCTTGGTTAGTAGTTTCCCAAACTTGCAATTTACCAGGGTCAGTTGGAGCTTCCTCTGTCAATGCCGACATTAGTCTCTTGAGGTTCAAAACCGCTTCCATTTTCATGGCCCAAAGATGATAATTAGTTCCAGTCAACTTCCGAATTCCAAAAACTAAGTCCTTCTCCATGATGATGGTAAACCACGCTCTGCTACCACTGTTGTTTGGTTGAATAACACAGAGGCTAATGCCGGCAAATAAAGTATTTATTAAAACATAATATGAGGAAACAATAGTTCGCACACACAGTGCTACACATCTGAATCAACCAACAACTAGCCAGCTTCTTCAACAAATATATATCTATTTCCCCTTTCGGGAAGTCGTTGTATTACATCACGCAACTCGCGCAACTTATTTGAGAAGGAGAGGAAAAATGAGATTTTATTTGCATATTAACAACAAAATTGATAATTTTTTATTGATGAAATGTTTAAGAAAATAAATCAATAGCGATTTCACATGAAAATAGTTCAGAGATAGTCCAAATCTTATTAAGTAAGGTGATCTTACTATCTTTTCAATTATAAATTAAAAAGAGCAACATGCCTTCCAAATAGTGCAATAAGCTCTAACTTTACCAGAAATCAGTTGAAATGACAATTAACTGAGTGGGGGGTAACACAGGCTATATGGCCAGGACTGTGAAATTTATAAAACTTTGCATTAAAAAACGTATAGAAATGTTAGCAAAAAAATATTTGATGAACAGAAAAGCATATCAAGAATAATTTAACAATTTGCAATATTTCTATGAAATTCTGTTTATATAAATAAATTTAACATTACATAAAATTAAATTAAATCAAAAAAAAAATTCTGCTCTTTTACATGCTTGTACTCAGAAATTTCTAAATTTTATGTGAAATTTGACGACAAACTTGCAACCCTAGTTATGATCAATTTAAAAACACATATAATTCATTGTTAAATGATCAAAAGAAATTCTTTAAGAATTCGTAAATTAATTTTTCAGCAAACTGGTTTTTGTGTTTTGCGTGTCATGTTGTTCTATTTGTTTATTAAAAGTTTAAAAAACTCATTGTAAATTATTGACAAATATATTTCATTTATATGCAAAATACTGTAAAACCTTAATTATTCAACGCCTCATCTATTCAGTTATCCAACACCTCTTTCAACGCTTGTTAAACTGTATTAGTCTAGCTGATGTATTGTTTCTTTATGATCATTAAACTCATTAATTACTACCATGATCATAATTCTGAAAAACTCCTAGGAAATGACCCAAAAAAATTGAGAATGACTTCTTTTTCATGATATTGTGTCATAAGATTATTTTATTAATGACAGAAAAAAAAAACACGAGTAAGACAGACATAAGATTATTCAAAGTTTCTAAACTTTAGAAGAGAGAAAATGCTATATTAAATATTGATTTTTTAAAATAATATTTCTACATTATTTTGCTATTTTACTCTAATATGATTTTATTCTCCTTAATCCATATCTGCTACCAACTCTCCTGGATTTTGGCCAGTTTCTCCTGGTCTACTGGTTTAATAAAAATTTTCCTAGTTTTTGTACATTTTTAGAAAATTGCCTAAAATTGAGTAAGTTTCCTAAAAGAAATCCCTATTGAAATACCATTTTTGCACTGATTACTGCTTGCTTGAATATTTAAATATGTATTACTGAAAAATTATGAAGCAAACCTCGTTTATAATAATCAATTTAAAACTTTTTTTTGTATTAAAATGTACTGTTATTTTATTTATTTAACAGTACATTTTTAGTACTGTTAGGTACAGGCATTTAATTCATCAAAGATAATTAGATTTTTAATTATCTTTGATGAATTAAATGCCTACTACTATTCAAAATTATGTGTAAACATAATACATAGCATCTATCCTAGTTGGGCATTTCCATTGCAATCCTAGTTGGGCAATATTGCAGTGTTTCTATTTTGATGTTAAAATTCCCTATGTGTAAAATATTTAGTACATAAAGCAACAATTATCATGAAATGTATGTTATTTCATAAAATCTACTGGATTTTTTCCTATCCATGTTGGCAGCTCTGTTAATCATGATTTATTTTTAAAAAAAACTTTTGTTAAACTCATTTTGTAGATAAAGTAAAGAAGAAGAAAAACTTTAAACAAGTATCTAAATAATTTAAATATTTGCTTTTTGTGAAAAATAGTTTCACATGCTTTTTTATTATTTGAATTGATAGGTATTTTCAAATATTTTGTTTTTTTCCTACTCCCATGCCTGGTAAGGGATTCTATTATCATTGTTAATTGCTTTGAGTAATTTTACTCACATTTATAAAATTGATATAAAAAGGTCAAAAAAGGATTTCAATTTTCCAACACACACCCTTAGTCCCCCGGTGTGATGTATAATTAGGGTTCTACTCTAATATTATTTTTCATTGCATTTTGAAGTGTCTTCCCATTATATTTCAAAAGTTATTTTGTTTTTGCCAAAAATATGTGAAAATAATTTTATTTCTTGGTTGTTAAGTTTTATTAAAATAATGACTGTTCCTAATCTGATTCTAATTTATTAGTGAAATTTTGGAGTTGAATAGTTTAAAAAAAGTAAAAATTGTTTTAAAAATTATTCTATTAAAACTATCATGATAATCAGAGTTTATAACATATCTAATTTTTAAAATTTTCCAATTAGTTAATATGTGTCTTTTAAAGGGATCCTTTAGTAGGTAAAGAAAATTTACTTAAACTTTCCTTTTTATATATATTACATTAAAATGAATGAAAAAGTACCGTTATATATTAATTCCAATTAAAATCTGCTCAATTACTAGCCTTAATGCAATCGTAAGGCATTTTATTTAAATATTTGCAATGAATGTGTGGCAAAAAATTGTGTACTTAATTTTTAAAGATAATGATAAAGATTGTCAGAGTCTGTAGAAATTTTGCTAAAAACTTGTTATGTGTTTTACTCTTTTGCAAACATCTTTATCACGTACTTAATTTTTAACAAATTTTTTATAACAATTGTTTTTGACAGTTACATAAAAAAGTGCAGGTCTTAGTATTTATTTTTAATTGACAAAGTATATATTATTTTTATTTATTTTTGGTGCCATTGCATTAATTAAACTAAATACAAACACTATTTAACCATAAAACATTTTTTAAGGTTAATTATTTTGTGTGCAAAATGTATTCAATGAATATTTAACCAACTATGAGGTATTTTTGGAGATAAATTTTATTATATAAGGTACGCTTAATGTTTAATAACATTTACTGCCAAGTTATTTTATTTCAGTTGTGTGATCATTTATTAAGATTGTGTGATCTTATGTTTTTTATTATTTTCCATATTTATTAATGCTTTTTATTTAAGTTCTGGCTTACTTATGTTATGATTTGTGTCTGAATAATAAGTAAAAGAAAAAGAATTATGCTCAATTTTTTTTAAATTTTAATTTAAATATATATTAATATTGAAGATAAAATATGACGGTCTCAAAATATTACTATGTTTAAAGCTTTATAAATCTTGTAGTTAATGTAACATATTTCTGAAAATAAGCTTGATAAAGCTTATTTTGTACATTAAAGGTTAATTTTCAAAAAAATCATACCCAATTAGAAGTTTACATTTTAACAGTTTTTTATTTGTTTTTAATTAGTGTTTCATACTAACATGTTTATTTGTACGTAGATTTCATGTTTGTAATGTTTTAACCAGTTATTTAAAAAAAATAATAATAATGTTTTATCATATTTGTTAATGTAAAACTGTAGTGTTGTTGTAGCAATACTTCACAAATAGGGATAAATCATAATTGGTTATTGTGAATTATTTCTATAAAGGTGCAGATGACTTACTTGACACAACAGAATTTAAGGAATATTAAAATACTTTTTAAATAATCGATTTTATGTATAAATATACCTGGTGATCTTGTATTTTGTGTGACGCATAAAAAAGTTCTACTTTCGATATTATTTTTGAGTTTTATAAAAATTTCAAAAAATGTCTTTATTTCATTTGATTCCAAAAAAAAAACTTAAAATACAAGCCTGCTAACTCTTTTATTAAAAGTAATCATTCATTATATCATTTATTATTATAGTAATCATTTATTTTATGTTATATAATAGTTATCATTTATTAAAAATTATTATTTAGTAATCTTTATTATTATTAATGATAATATTGTTACAAAAGTAATATATTTCTCATAATATTTTTCAGTTTGTTTTAGTTTAACATTTCTGTTTATTTTCTCTTACTAAACTTTAATTAAATTACTTATTAAAATGTTCAATATTGAATTTCTGAATGTTTAAAG